TTCTGCTTTGCCCTTTGGGGACGGGCCCCGGTGGAGGAAGGGCCCGTCTGCGACCAAGGCCGGGGCTCCTGTGCTTGGGGGCCTGTGGCCTGGGAGGAAGGGGACGGGCCGCTCCCAGACAGGACTCTTACCTTTGTCCTGATGGATTTGTTCACAAAACTTGCTCCACTTGTGGCTCGTGTTGCCACCATTAGAACAAAGCTGCAAACCAGTTGACTGGTCCTTCGGCGTCTTGTAAATCGTATGAAATGTGGCCCTGGGTTGCCCAGACTCTGGTTATCACAGTAGCTAGTGGCAACGTGCCTCATCAGGCATGTCCTCTGGGCAGAGTGTTGGAGCCCCCAGGGTCGGCTGATTTCACTGGGAGGAGGTGGCTGTCGCTACGTTATTTTGAACCATCCCTCTCGGTTCAAATGACACTTGTCCTAATTGTATTAACTCACATACACACCCTGTGTACTTCAACATAACCTAGTGCATCTTCAGCCAAGCCGCGTTCCAAAACTTTGTGCGCACGTGGCGGAGAACGCGCCTGTCTTATCGGCCCTCGGCTCTCAAGGTGTGTACTGAAATGCATCAATCGGCACATTCAACACCCTTCACAGCAGAGTCACGGACAGATCTATAGGGGTGACAACAGGAAAGTCTTCCGGCTCGTGTTACACTTAGCTAATGACTCAGTGCGAGCAGTGTCTGGAGTCCCAGTGGACGTGGTTAAGGGTGGAAAGAAAGAACCATTCCAAATGGAGGTGGTGCTAACTCAGGGTCTGTCTACACTAGCCCCCTAGTTCGAACTAGGGAGGCTAATGTCGGCATTCAAAGTTGCAAATGAAGCCCGGGATTTAAATATCCTGGGCTTCATTTGCATCTTCCCAGGCGCCACCATTTTGAAATGTCCCTTAGTCCGAACTCTGTGCCCACGACTACACGCGACACGGAGTAGGTAATTCGAATTAGGATCTCTAATCCTGAGGTTTTGTGTTTGGGGGTGGCCACGTACCGCCCCAGGCCAGGGAATCTGGGCAGGGTATTTTACATTCTCTTGCAGTGTGCCAAAGTGGGGAACAGCCTTGACAGGGTCACTGCCAGTCTCGTCTCTCCCTCTGCTGGGTGCAGCGGCTGGATTCCCACTGGCTCCTTCTCTGCTGGAGCGGACGTTTCACACCCTGTGTCTCAAGCAGAGTCCTACTCCCAGTCCCCATCACTGCCAGCTTCCCTCCGGGATGGCACGAGACACTCGAGAAACCTGCCACAGCAGGATGGGAGCCAATGAGATGCCAGAGACTTGCAAATGGACTAGACCTTGGCATGTTGAACCTCTTGAGTCCGGCACCCTCGGGACCTGACCAGAGACTTTGCCAAGCCGCGGGAGGCCAGGATTGTCTAGCAGCATCACCAGCACGTCCACGGCCGGCTGGGCTCTGAGAAGACAGCGAGGGGTCAGTGAGAGCTAAGTAGCAGCACAGGGCTGGGGGCTGGAAACAAAGGTTATGGGACCGTGGGAAACTTGGCCACACCCATGCCAAGCGGACGTGCGGCTAGCTCAGGGGTGGGCAGAAGGGCCTTCGTGGGCCAATTAGTGCCTGGGGGGAGGGGAGCCCCCAAAGCCGTCTCCGCTCTGCACCCGCCCTGCGAGTAGCACCCAGCGCTTCAAGGCCACAATTGGCCTGGGGGTGGGAGAGCGCGGGAGCCTCCTCCCGCCCGGGCAGGAGCACGTGATGCTTTGAAGTGCCGTGTGCTGCTCACCGGGCAGGGGTGGGAGGGAGAGCGGAGGAAGCTCTGCGCACTCCCCCGCCCGCAGACCAATCAGGGCCTGGGGGCGGGGGAACTGTGTGACGCTTCCTTCGCCCTGCCCTGGCACTTCAAAGCACCACGTGCTCCTTGCAGGGCAGGAGAAGGCTTCCCGCGCTCCCCACCCCCCACGCCCTGATTGGCCTGGGATTGGGGGAGCGTGCCAAACCTCTTCCTGGGCATGGGTACTTAGTGGGAAGGGGGGCAAAGGGGCTCCCCTAGCCCCAGACCAATCATGGTCTGGAGGTGGGGTAGCCCCACCCCTTCCTGTTTAGGCTCTGCCCCTTCTGGGGTGGCCTGGGGCGACTTCAACAGTTTTTGAAATGGCCTCCAGGCAAAAATGATTGTCCTCCCCTGGGCTAACTCAAATCCTGCTGACCCACGGGTGCTGTGGACCAGAGAGCGCTGGACTAGGGAGGTTCAAGCTGTACTTGGAATCGCAGGCCGGCTGTTGCAAGGGGCTGCAGTCAGCCTTTCCGTGACTGCGCCAGCCGGACACAAGGCCTCTGGCTCGCTGATTTCAGGCTGGTGTGGAGTACGCAAACCTTCCACCTTGGCCTCTTTCCCACCTGAACTCCTGGCCTCTGTAAATGAAGCACGGCTGATTTACAATGCAGTGACATTTCCCGTAATGTATCAAATGCCAGAGCTGTGCTAGCGACAGACCTAGGGGGGTTCCTTGATTGCCTGGCCTATTTCTGGCAAGTGATTATTTGATCCAATAACAACCTATTCATTACACGGATTTGTAGGCAAATAGGATCCTGTGTTATCTTAAAGGGGCCCTGCCAGCTGTCAGAGGCACCATTTGATCTGCGCAAGATGAAAAGCGGGAAGACTCGGCTCCCGCTGAGCTGGGAAGGCAGGCGAGCCAGGTTACCCAGTGTGCCTGGCAAGGCAAACAGGCTGGGGTGCTGTCAGGGCAGGCATGCCACGAAGGCCTATGCCGGATGGACAGCCCAGCACCAGTGTCTCCTGGTGCTTGCTGGGACACGTCAGAGCAGGGGCCGGGCCAGGAACTTTTCCTCTTTCAAGCGTGGGAAGTTAGAACTGCAACGGGAGAAACCCGCCAACCGCTCCCGGCCTGGAAGCCTTCCCAGGAGCGCTGCCGGGACTGGGCCCCTGGCTTGAGATTTGTAGAGGCGGCTTGTGATTTTGGGGTGCTGGCCCGGAGCCCGTTGTGGAATCACGGTGCCGGGGCGGGAGCATCACGCTCTGGAGACCCGGGACTGGGTGCTGGGGTCACCTTTCATGGGGGGGGGGCACCGAATAACTTACTCCGTTTCCACTTGGGAAAGGGGGGCGGCAGCACCGGGGCTGTGAGAGGGGCTGCGTGAAAAGTACGATGCAGACGCTAGATGTTATTGAAGCAATGGGAGGAAAACCATGAAAAGCAGGAAATGTATTAAAATCTCTGGCGTAAAAACCCATTTAAAGCATTTCCTTAGGAGCATCCAGGGACGGAATGACAAGGTGTCGGAGCACGGCCCTTGCTCTTCATTAGGGCCCACTGGCCGCAGGTTTTGTTTGGCTCCTGGACAGCCCTTCCCTACATAAGAACGTAAGAACGGCCGTCCTCGGTCAGACCAAAGGTCCATCTAGCCCAGTAGCCTGTCTGCCCACAGTGGCCAGCACCAGGTGCCCCAGAGGGGGTGGACCGAAGACAATGATCAAGCGATTTGTCTCCTGCCATCCCTCTCCAGCCTCTGACAAACAGAGGCCAAGGACACCATTCTATCCCCTGGCTAATAGCCTTTTATGGACCTAACCTCCATGAAATTATCCAGCTTCTCTTTAAACTCTGTTCTAGTCCCAGCCTTCACAGCCTCCTCCGGCGAGGAGTTCCACAGGTTGACTACACGCTGTGTGGAGAAGAACTTTCTTTTATTAGTTTTAAACCTGCTCCCCATTAATTTCACTTGGTGTCCTCTAGTTCTCTAGTCCTCCCTGGGAATAACGAAGCCCAGTCACTTAGAAGCAGTTTTCTCGCTAGTACACGACGGGCCGGGTAGTGAAGGGTCAGAACTCCAGGCTGCCCTGTTCTTCTGCTAGGAGCCTCAGGGGGATGCGGCTGTGATTGGACGCATGCAAATACTGGCAAGCGCCCAGCAAAGGTTTGAAACGGAAACCGCCCTGTAAACGGTGAGGGCAATAACGTTAAGCGGGGTCCTTGGAGTGATCTGGTGCCGGCACAGACCCAGAGCGACATGGAGTTAGCAAGGGGAAAGGAGGCCCCGATTCGGCAAGCATTGATGAACATTTAACTCAAGTGGGATGTAAGCATGTGCTTCAAAGTACAAACGTCTTCAGGGCTTTGGTGAACGGGGAGCTTGGCCAGTCGGGCCCCACGAGCCAGTAGAGTGAGCTGAGCACCCGAAGGAGGAGAATTCCGCAAGGGGCAGTAGCTTGGCCCATTGCTCATGGTATTTGAGCACTTCCCAGTCAGCTCACACGCTGCCCTAAAAGCGGCCACACAGGCCGGGTGCATCAGTGTGGAGCAGCCTGGACTCCGAACTTCCATCTTTTGTCATCCAGAGCGAGGGATGTAAAATCCCGGCCGATCAGTTAACCGTTTAAGCATGATGTTTAACTGGTTAAACAGGGAAGCTTAGGGAGGCCGCTCCAGCCCACCAGCTAACTATAACTGGTAAGCATCACCAGGTAACGGTGATGCTTATCAGTTAACTGGTTAACCGTTCACATCCCTCACCCGAACTAGCCTCTGCTTGATTGCAAGAGGTTCTGGGTCTTTCACTTAACCCAGAACCATCCCTGGGACTACTAATTGTGAGTATTTTCCTCTTAGGGGGAGGATTTTAAATTTCTTAGCCCAGGACCAATGAGATAAAAACACACCGGGTCAAATTCTGCCCTCGCTTACCCCTGGACAGCCACACGGAAGCGAGCGGGACGTCTCTGCTACTCCACACGGGCAGGGGAGGGCAGAATGGGACCCATTGAATTCATCTGCGACACAACTCCAGTGAAGTTATGGGATTCAACCAAGCCTCGGGTTCAGAGGCCAACGTGTGTCCGTGGCTCATGCTTCCACTGGCAAATCCTTCCCTGTCTTGGCTCCAGCACACAGGAGCCCGCTGGGGATGCTGTTGAGCGTTTCCGGATTCCAGGGCAGTCCTGCGTTAGCGTCACAGTTAAGCAATGAAAGTGTGTGCGTGGCTGTTTGTCAATGTCCTTCCTTTCTCTTGCAGAGAGATGCCAAGGGCCAGTATCTGTTTGACCTTCTCTGCCACCACCTAAACTTGCTGGAGAAGGACTACTTTGGAATTCGCTTTGTGGACCCCGACAAGCAGAGGGTAAGTCACAGCCACGGGTACCACTCCCACGCAGATCTGGTTCCAAGACGTGCTTGGATGGTCTGGAGGGATTTTCTCGACAGCAGACCTGGGAGGCAGTGCTGTTGTGGGGAGACCTTGCACATTCTTTAGTTGTGTGTGTGTGTGTGTGTGTGTGTGTGTGTGTGTGTGTGTGTGTGTGTGTGTGTGCGCGTGTGTGCGTGTGTGCGTGAGTGTGTGAGTGTGAGTGCGTGAGTGCGTGTGTGTGTGTGTGCGTGTGAGTGTGTGTGTGCGTGCGTGTGTGCGTGTGTGTGTGTTTCTTAGTGATCCACTGTTACAAAAGTTGTGGAGAATTTTTCTCTTCACGGGACTAACAGCTGCAGTGCAAACCGAACGGGGAGCTAAAGGGTTTATTACAGACACCAGGACAGCCCTTTGTCAGGCCTCTTTCTCTTTGGCAGGGCTGGGCAAAATATAGCCCATAGGCCAGGTCTGGCCCTCTTTCCCCAGACAACCCAAACTGTCCTCCCCCATAACCTCCCAGACCCTGTATTCCAATCTCCTGCCCCAGGTCATAACCCCCTCCTGCCCTAGATCACAGCCCAAACCCCTGCATCTCCTCCTGCAACCAATCCCCTACCCCAGGTCATAACCCAAACCCCTGCACCCCCTCCCAGACCCTGTACCCCAATCCTCTGCCCCAGGTCACAAACCCCTCCTCCCCTAAGTCATAATCCAAACTCCTGTACCCCATCCTGTACCCCAGACCCCTGCCCCTGGTCACAACCCAAACTCCTGCAGTGCAGCCCTTGACCACTAAGAAATTGTAAATACCTCCCCTGGGTTAATTAGCAGGGTTGTATGATCCACCTGTCAATCAAAAAGCCATCTGTCTCCTTCATTCTTGCTATGCCCGGTGAGGAGTCTCATCTGCTTACTGTCCTTGCAAAAATACATTTGGATCCTTTCTGCTGCCGCAAGCATTTCAGAGACAGCCGCTCTGAGCAGGGGGGCTCCTGTATCCGCCACAGAATTATTCTGGGTGCAGCTCTGTTCCATAGCTTCGTGGCTGATGTAGGTAATTGCCTAGAGAGCAGACTTGCAGATCATTCCGGGAGGGGTGACAAGTGCTCTGGAGAATAGGGTTAACATTCCAACTGATCTGGACAAACGGGACAAATCGTCTGAAATAAAAGGGATGAAATTCAATAAGGACAAGTGCAAAGTGCTCCACTTAGGAAGGAACAATCATTTGCTTGCATACAACATGGGAAGTGACTGTCTAGGAAGGAGTCCTGCAGAAAGGGATTTAGGGGTCATAGTGGACCAAAAACTAAATATGAGTCAACAGTGGGACACTGTTGCAAACAAAGGAAACGTGATTGTGGGCTGCATGAACAGGAAGGAGTGTTGTTTCCACGAGGGGAAATGTGCGTGCGGGAGTGATTTCTGCCATTGCTCCGGGTTAGTTTTCCGCTGTATGTTAGTTTTTGTTTCAAACCACGCACAGAATGCCGACGGGGTGCTGGCAGGCAGGGCGTGCTGCAGAAACTCCAGCTGCACGCCGTTCCTTACTCTTATGGCAGCGCTGAGTTGGCTTCAGGGCTCACACCTCCCCAGTGCATGAGAACGTGCCTGACTTCTGCCCCCTCGGGCCTGGCCCTGCATCTGAGGCTATGCAGGGAAGAGAACGCGCAGCAGCGCTCCCTGGCGAGGGAGGTGGTGCTGCCAGCTGGCCTGGTTGAACAGCTGTTGTGGTTAATTCCCACTCAGCATGGAGCTGGATCGGGGTGTTTGCTGGTTTCCTTTTCCTCTTCCAGTGGAGCGGTGCGTGGGAGGCTTTGCCTGCTCTTCTTCGGCCTGGCTGGATTGCGCTCCCCCACCCACGGTTCACTTCCTGGCTAGCAATGAGGCTCCGATGTCCATGGCCTGGGTGTCTCCTGTGGCTCCCAATGCCCTCCCCGCCCCTGCAAGCTTTCTTATGCTAGGAGAAGAGGGCGGAGGGTACCGGGCATGGGTGTTGCTGGGAGAAGAGGGCGGAGGGGACCGGGCGGGGGTGTTGCTGGGCGAAGAGGGCGGAGGGAACCGGGCGTGGGTGTTGTTGGGCAAAGAGGGCGGAGGGTACCGGGCATGGGTGTTGCTGGGAGAAGAGGGCGGAGGGGACCGGGCGGGGGTGTTGCTGGGCGAAGAGGGCGGAGGGAACCGGGCGTGGGTGTTGTTGGGCAAAGAGGGCGGAGGGTACCGGGCATGGGTGTTGCTGGGAGAAGAGGGCGGAGGGGACCGGGCGGGGGTGTTGCTGGGCGAAGAGGGCGGAGGGAACCGGGCGTGGGTGTTGTTGGGCAAAGAGGGCGGAGGGTACCGGGCATGGGTGTTGCTGGGAGAAGAGGGCGGAGGGGACCGGGCGGGGGTGTTGCTGGGCGAAGAGGGCGGAGGGAACCGGGCGTGGGTGTTGTTGGGCAAAGAGGGCGGAGGGTACCGGGCATGGGTGTTGCTGGGAGAAGAGGGCGGAGGGGACCGGGCGGGGGTGTTGCTGGGCGAAGAGGGCGGAGGGAACCGGGCGTGGGTGTTGTTGGGCAAAGAGGGCGGAGGGTACCGGGCATGGGTGTTGCTGGGAGAAGAGGGCGGAGGGGACCGGGCGGGGGTGTTGCTGGGCGAAGAGGGCGGAGGGAACCGGGCGTGGGTGTTGTTGGGCAAAGAGGGCGGAGGGTACCGGGCATGGGTGTTGCTGGGAGAAGAGGGCGGAGGGGACCGGGCGGGGGTGTTGCTGGGCGAAGAGGGCGGAGGGAACCGGGCGTGGGTGTTGTTGGGCAAAGAGGGCGGAGGGTACCGGGCATGGGTGTTGCTGGGAGAAGAGGGCGGAGGGGACCGGGCGGGGGTGTTGCTGGGCGAAGAGGGCGGAGGGAACCGGGCGTGGGTGTTGTTGGGCAAAGAGGGCGGAGGGTACCGGGCATGGGTGTTGCTGGGAGAAGAGGGCGGAGGGGACCGGGCGGGGGTGTTGCTGGGCGAAGAGGGCGGAGGGAACCGGGCGTGGGTGTTGTTGGGCAAAGAGGGCGGAGGGTACCGGGCATGGGTGTTGCTGGGAGAAGAGGGCTGAGGGTACTGGCCTGGGGGCAGTGTGGCGGGGCACGCTGGAAGCACAGGGCTGTGGGGGATCACAGCTGGGAGGAAAGTGCTGGGTTGGGTTGAGGGGGGCACTGTGCAGAGATCCGGGCAAAGGGGGCACAATGCAGGGGCTAGTGGTAAAGGGGGCACAGGATGGAGTGCCAGGGTGCCTGGGGAATGGGGGGTGCTATGCCCAAGGGTCCAGGGGCACCGAACACAAGTTTGCCCAAGCGCCATGTTCCCTCCAGCCGGCCCTGGCTGTGTGCTGGCGTCGCAGGCAATGAGCAGCCGTGTTTGAAGGATGCTGGCGGAGTCGGAAGGGACTAGCCTGTTCAGTGGCGGAGGGCTCCGTGTTCCTTGCGGTGATTGCGACTGATCAGTAGCGGCCGCTCTGGGTGCGCGCCCTCTTTGTTGTCCTGCCTGTTGTCCTGCCCCTTTAAATACATGCACAGACAAGGCCTCGTGTGTACCCGCTGGAGCCTGCGAGCCTGGCGGTTGAAAGGGGAGCCCCAGGCAGAAATCTGACGTCAGAGAGCTACCAGCACCCGAGGGGTGTTGGCGTCGCTTGTTGGTTGTTGCTCGTCTGGGGGCTGTTCTGAGCCGTGGCGGCTAAGGGAAAGTGTGTACAGTAGAGTAGTCTGGTATCGGGCTTCAGTGCGCCCCGTGGAACCGCGGCTGCGACAGCATGGCAGCCGGCTTATTCGAGGCTTCACGTTTCTCAGCGAAAAGTGCCGCGTGTAGCACCAGAGGCCTGCGGCTGCCTCCTCAATCCGTTATTATCGGTGCATGAGTGAATATTTCTCACTGGAAGGTAGGAGCAAGAGAGCTTCAAACCCTGGCCTCTAAAGGCCCTGGTTACAAAAACGTCCCCCCAGGATCCTAATACACAGATATTGGGGAATCGCTGCCACCATCAAGTGCTTCTTTATCCCTAAAAGCCAGGGGTGAACACTTGAAACCATGCCCAGGGGTACCCCAAGCTCTTTTCCCCCAGAAAAGCTTGTAAAAAGAAAAGAGAAAAACAAGTTGCCCTGTCTGGTAGCTGACCCCTCAGTCAGAGGCCTGCAGGTACAGACAGACAGACCTGCCAGGACATAAGAACCAAATCACCACCTTGAAAACGTGATTTTTATTACAAAACAAAAGATAAACGTGATAAAGGAGCCTCAGTTGCTAGATGTTACAGAGCAACTAAGGAAAACAAATTAAAACACAGAGAAAAGGCTCTGGGCACAATGCAAGGTAGTAAATGGGGGGGGGCAGAGATTCACACAGAGCTGTTCAAACCAAACCACAAAATAAAGAAAAATGACCCTGAATGCGACTGGGTTCACACTTCCCCTTCCTTACTTCCAGTCTGCTCCCATTCCCCAGATTCCTTGGAGGCATGGCAGTCCTGCCTGGGTTTAATCATTCTGTCTGTCTCTCAACTCCTGGTTTCTCTCTCCGGCACAGAGAAAGCCGGCAGGGGACCTACATCCAGTTCAAATGTCAACCCTCTATCTCAATGGGTTCTCCCGGTCCCCTGGCCAACACCTTTGCTAGCTGCCTGAGTTAACCCCATAGGGTATGTCTACACTACCCTCCTAGTTCGAACTAGCGGGGTAATGTAGGCATACTGCACTTGCAAATGAAGCCCGGGATTTGAATTTCCCGGGCTTCATTTGCAAGTGCGGTATGTCTACATTACCCTCCTAGTTCGAACTAGCGGGGTAATGTAGGCATACTGCACTTGCAAATGAAGCCCGGGATTTGAATTTCCCGGGCTTCATTTGCAAGTGCGGTATGTCTACATTACCCTCCTAGTTCGAACTAGCGGGGTAATGTAGGCATACTGCACTTGCAAATGAAGCCCGGGATTTGAATTTCCCGGGCTTCATTTGCAAGTGCGGTATGTCTACATTACCCTCCTAGTTCGA